TTTCTCCAAAATTTCTTTGAAATATTCTTCAGAATAACTTCCTTTTCTATTAAGTTGAAAAAGAATGGGTGAAATTCTTATGCATGAGTACTGAACTACTAATAGGAACACACAGGATAGCAGGACTGGTCATAGTCCACCATACCATGGAAAGATCTGGATGAACAACTTGTTTCAGCAAACACTGCAGATGGATGGATGCTCTCTACCTTGTTGAGGCCTCTTATGCTCCATTTCCTTTAAAGGGCTTGGCGCCTCTTGTCCCCAGCCAGAAGACAAATGTTCCTCTTCTCTTCTGTGGTCTCTCTCCTGGCTTGAACCTAGCATTATTGGGAAGTCACAGATAAGTGGGAGTTAACTGACACTCTAGGTCAGTGGTTCCCAACCTTGGGATAAATCAAGTGTTCTTGCACTGTACCTCCCAGAAACCCCTGGCAATACAGCTGGTGGTGAAGGCTTCTGGGAATTGCAGTCCAAGAAAACCTGAGTTTCCCGAGGTTTGGAACCACTGCTGTAGGTGAATCACATGAAAGTCTCTGCAAAGGTCCTGACTCAAGTTCTGGAGGCTTAGAGACTCTAGTAGGAAATTCAGTACCATGAACTGCAGTGCTTCCTCAGCAAGTAGTGTAACTGAGCCAGATTAGGGCAGTTCATCCATTTGAGACAATGGGCTTGAGGCCAGAGCTGTGACAGTGGCAAGCCATGGAAAACGATTTCATTTGTCTCCTCTTTGGCAGTCACAAAATTAAATGAACTACCCGGAAAGTGGTTATACTAAGTAGTTATAATCCCATAGGGAGCTTATGCTGGCATTAAATGTACTTGCAGAACCTGCAGCAGCCAAGTGGCACAACTGGCACATAATCAGGAATACAAGCAGCAACTTGTTAATTAGTAGCAATTTGCCACCACAGTATATGCCATTACACCTTTGCTGGCAAAAATCTCCAATAGGGTTTGTTTGTTTGTTTGTTTGTTTGTTTGTTTGTTTGTTTGTTTGTTTGTTCCTTCCTTCGTTCGTTCCTTCCTTCGTTCCTTCCTTCGTTCCTTCCTTCCTTCCTTCCTTAAGAAGTATTTTAAAGGTAGAAGAAGAAAGCCATTGTGTGGGTCTATGTCATAATTTCAGGAATCAAAACATAAGAAAGTTATTCTCAAGATGGAAGTTGAGACATGCTTTCCGCTAGAGCTTCAAAATCCTACTTTTGGGAGCACAGCTCAAAGAATCCCACTGCCAACATGGCAAGCCATGCTTGGTGGGAAATTTTGGAATTTATCATCCAAAAATAATGTTTCCAAGCTCTGTTTTCAAGAAGGGCAGTTTCTACTGAACTGAGAGTTGCTGAACTGAGTTTCTTAAATTTGATGTATATGTGTCCAATTTAACTTATAACTTGTCTTCCTGTCTGATATGGCTCTCAAGGCAATTAAGAATAATGAAATGCTCACTGGGAACAGTATCTAGATTAAAACATAACCTCAAAATAAATTAATTAAAATATGTTAGAAATAAAACAAATTTAGCATGAAGCCAGTTAAATCTCCTTCAATAGCACACTTGAGTAGTGTTAAAAAACCCAAATGTTTCCTGATCAGTATAATAAAAGCAAAGCATACTGTTTATATACTGTCCCATAGCTTAAATCTCTCGGTGTCATTTACAAGTTAATTATGTGGCTACACATTGCCTCCTCAGTGAGCTGGGTACCCAGTTTACCAATCTTGGAAGAATGAAAGGCTGAGTCATTTCCAGCTACCTGGAATTGAACCCCAGGTTGTGAGCAGAGTTTGGCTGCTAGGATTCAGGAAACTTGGGTTTGAATCCTCACTTGGCCATGGAAACTTTCTGGGGGGGGGAGTAGAACTGATCAAAACCACCCCTTAAATATCTCACTTACCAGGGGAGTAGAACTGATCAAAACCGCCCCTTAAATATCTCACTTACCTCGAAAGCCGTACGTCCCATCAAGTCTAATTTGATGGCACAGAATAACAGCAACAGAATACAAAGGTCTGTGTGTCTGAATTTTCAATTTACAATGCTTTATAATATTCCTGCTGCAGATGTTAAGGAAAGTCCCGTTGATGGTATGTTTTATACCGTATTTTTCACACCATAAGACACACTTTTTTCCCACAAAACAGTGGGGTGGAAAGTCTGTGCGTCTTATGCAGCGAAGAAAACAGATTATATTTTCCTGTTTTCTTCTCCTAAAAAATTGGTGCGTCTTATGGAAAGGTGCGTCTTATGGAGCGAAAAATACGGTAATTACTGTACTTCTTCCATTCAAAACATCTCACTTCTGTGATCATCTTGGCTGTTCTCTTTGCACATAAAGGTGGAGGCAGGCATCTTCATTGTCAGACTGAAAAGGTATCTCTGTTCGGAGCGTATGTGTGGAATATGTATATGTTCATAGTTATGATTGATAGTGTAAGTGATTAATGCTTAAGTATGGAAAATGACCTTGTTTGTTGTTTAGTTGAAAAACTAGCTAATTTGGGATACTGGTTTAGTAGTTGACACTATGGGTTCTTGGCTGAAACATTCCCCCCCCCTCCAAAAAGCAAACAAACATGTAAGAACCCTTCTGGCCCCCTCAGTCGGTTTCTAGGGTGCTCAGGAGGCTTCAGTGGGGTGGGTGGATTCTGCTGTTGTGTGACTGGAGTTCCAGCTTTGGGTAGCATGCCTTGATATAGTGATGTCAGAGCTCACACAGCTAAACCACAGACCTCCCTGTTCCCTGCTGTAATCCTCACATGAGTTAGGTGGGTGTGGACTTTTGAGCATTCACTTGTTAAGAGACACCCTTGCTGTAATGCAAGGAATTCTGGAGATAGCTTTGTTTTGAGCAGGCAATTAATATATACAGTACAGAAAACCTGCTCCTGGCATGGATGAAAACTGCTAGAACTAGTTGGATAAGACTTCTACCCTTCTTGGGACAATCACCATGGGACCTATGCCTGAACAGAAGAATTCTTACACTGCTTGCTACCTATGGTCACAAAACATGTTGAGGATTGGGTAAGCCTGGCCTGTGCTATGCAGTGCCATTTTGAACTAGTTGTTTAACTGCAAGGATAATGATCAAGATGTGCCATATTGGTTTAATTGCTGTCCCTATTGGGAGGGGGAAAGCAGCGGTTCATTGTGGCTTGCAGCTTTTCAGTGACCTCAAATGCTGCTCCAAGTATCCCACAGCGAAGAAGCCCATGCTGGTTAGAGTCTTTCTGGAGTTGTAATTCCAAAAAGGCATTTTTTTTCCCAAGCTCAGGTATTAAGAGACTATGTTATTGTCAGTGGAGTAAAGGTATCCTTTGTAGATAACATCTATGGCAAATCTGTAAAACTCTCTTGTTCCTGGATCTCACCTAAAATACTTTGGAAGTATTGCACTGTTCACACATTGATGTTGATTGCTTGTTGGCTATAGATAGACATAAGGTGCCGTTATTTCAGAGCAGTCAACTCTTAGGAGGCCTCTTGGCTGAGGGAACAATGACACTTAAAATAGGCAGAAAGGTGGCTCTGGCTTTTGAAGGACCAGGCAGGCAGCTGTTACCATTTGAGGCCTATTGGTTTTCCCGCAGGAGGCCTGTTCACAAAGAAAGCAAAGGACTTCTTCCTTGTTCTAAAGCAAAGCAGAGAGCGGTAACATCTCCTTCTGCAACCTCTGGGTGTATCTCTAGTAGGCACAGACTACTTTCAACATAATGAACAGTTTATAATAGTTCCAAGGGGTGGGATTTAAGCAGCCTAAGCATGTTTGGGGTTGCAAAGGGTGTGGATATTGGAAAGGTTAAGGCACCCATGGTTGGATAACAGGTACAGAGAATACCACCACCCCCCTCCCCTGCCAATCTCTCACTCACTTTAGCCTTGCTGGATTTCAGCCTAAAATGGTTCAACTCATTCATGGGAACATATCCGTAATCCTTCTTGCATTAGCAAGGACTTTCAAATCTGCATTAGCATTTGTCCAAGCAAGGTATTAATGGTATTGCCAGCATTAATTGGCCTATTTAGAAATGTTGTTTAGCTGCATTGTCACTCCCCTTTAAGTAAAAAGAGGAATGTACCCGTTGCTCTCTGGGTACAGCCAGCATGCCCAAGATGTCATTTTCAGTAAGAACAGAGTGCTGTGCTTTATGCTAGAAAAACCCTTCATCTCTAGGCAAACAAAAGTTTGGCTGTTTTTCATGAAATTATACATGTCCGTAAAACCACAGACTTAAAATATTACAGCTACTTCAAGAAAGGGCTTATTCACTTGAAGCAGCATATGCACTTTTTTTTGATTGCAAGGGAAGACTAAGTGTTTTTGAGACTTATATTCGTATTTTCAGGAAATACAGATCATGTTCAAACATATACCATCTCCCAGTGTCTGAAACCACTGTTCCATAAGAGCATATACATTTGTCCACAGAATTTAACACTTTTTAAGTCCAAAATCATCGTACTTAGCTTACACTGGCATAGGGGAAAACACTGGCATAGGGGAAATGATATCATGGCAGTGGCCAGTTGCTGGTAATCAGACTCCCCCATGGCGATTCTTTGTTGGCACATGATTTGGGCAGCTTTGTGTGTGCATGACCTGGAACCCAAGTGGGGACTCTTTTCCATGCTTCGGTCTTGAATTGCATGCAAAGCTACCTAGATTGTACTCAGTAAGCGATCTCACGAGGACCTGCAGGGAGGACTGTAATTAGCAGTGACCTGCTGCTGCGCTGATGTCATTCTCCCTCTGCCGGCTTGAGTTATGCAAGAGAATGTTTTTGTCCTCCCCCTCCCCTGGTGAATTCCAATACCATTCTGGTGAGATTAAGTACAGTGTAAACTCACACTTTTTTTTTTGTTACAGAGGAAAATGACATACGTATTGGTAGAGACCTGTTGCGAGAGATTAAAATGAGAACTTTGTTGTTGTTTTAAATGAAGCAGCTTGCCTTTAGTAATGATATGCTGTGTTTTGTTTTTATTTTGGGGGATCCAGGTCCTGTTTACCATCTGATTCAAAAAAAACCCACAAAAAACCCACAAAACCCCATCAACGAACGTGTATAGCCCAAATACTTCCAAGCAACTGGGGAAAAGATGAATGTAAGAATGAAGACTTGAAACGTGTGATCAGCAGCAATTCATGGTTGAAAGAGAAGCATTGTTTCACTCACCCAGGCACAGGTTGTCCTTTTGACTGATGCTGCTGTAGTTCTGATGGATTATAGTGGAGGCACGAACATGGAATTGAGAAGAGCCTCCAGTCCTCATAAAATGAATAAGAATGACCTGGATGCTGGCAAAGATGTGCTGCACAGCTGTTGCATATGTGGCAAAAGTTTTCCTTTTCAGAGCTCCCTCTCACAGCACATGAGGAAGCACACTGGGGAGAAACCATACAAGTGCCCTTACTGCGACCACCGAGCATCCCAAAAGGGCAACTTAAAGATACACATTCGGAGTCACCGAACGGGCACCATCAGCCAGGGAAATGAAGGGGAAATGGGAGGAGAGGCACAGCTCGGTGAGATGAGAGTCTCAGAAGGTCTTGATGGTTGCACCAGTCCTACCAAAAGCACCTCAGCCTGCAACAAAATCCTGAATGGAGCCACTCCTGCAGAAGATGGCAAGATCTTGCTCAGAAGCAGTAGAAAAGATATGGTTGCAGAGACTCCTGTTGGAGAAGATGTTAAATCCTGCACTTTTCCGTGCACTTTCTGCAAAATCAAATTTGAAGGGAAGAAAGAGTTGGAGCAGCACATCCGCCAGATCCACAAACCTTTCAAATGTAGGCTGTGCAACTATATGACATTAAGGCAAGAGACACTGTTAAACCATATAGAGAGGGACCACATTACCACTCAGATTCCAAACGGGGAAACATATGCTGAGAACTGTAAAATTGAGACAAGTGCAGGGGAGTTTCCTTGTGAAGTCTGTGGACAAGCCTTCAGTCAGACGTGGTTTCTCAAAGCTCACATGAAGAAACATCGGGGGTCATTTGACCACGGGTGCCACATTTGTGGCAGGAAATTTAAAGAGCCCTGGTTCCTGAAAAACCACATGAAATCTCATGGCCCCAAGTCTGGGAGCAAAAACAAGCCAAAAAACGACTTGGAACCTATGGCCACTATTAATGATGTCATTCAAGAGGAAATGATTGTGACCGGTTTGTCCCTGTATGAAGTTTGTACCAAGTGTGGAAATCTGTTTACAAATATGGAAAGCCTAAAAGCACATAATTCTGTACATTGCAGGTCTCAAGGAGCCCGTGGAGAACACAAAGCTGAGAGGCTGGTCGATGGAGGTCTTAATCCATCTATAGCAAAGCAGGTTTTCCTCCAGTACTTGAACTTGAGGCCGTCTATAGGGGTAGATGGTGTTCCTAGGAGTCAACCAGGAAAAAGAGTAGCTGAGCTGGATCCAGTCAACAGTTACCAGGCCTGGCACTTGGCTACCAAAGGAAAAGTTGCAGAACCTTCTGAGTACATGAAGTATTTTGGATGGGACGAAGTCTTGGCAGATGCTGATGTCACCTATGACAGAGACAAAAGGGAATATATTCTTGTCAGTCAGGAGAAGCGCAAGCAAGAGCAGGACTCATCCAGCTCTTCCAGTAACCCAAAAAAGAAGAGCTGCACTAGTGGGCGTTCAGAGAAAAGCAGCAGCACCCACTCAGGGGACAACTGTCTCCTTGGCCATGATGACCTTGAGTACCGTCCTTCATCACGTCAAAGCAGGAGGGCATCACAGAACAAGTCTACCGAGTGTTTCGAATGTGGCAAGATATTCCGTACTTATCATCAAATGGTGCTTCATTCCCGTGTCCACAGGAGAGAGCGCAGGAGCTGCGGTGAGGGTGGGGTGACAGCTCAGCAAGATCGTTACAGTTCAAACAGTGAGGATGGTGACTCTGGATCTGTAAGTGGGCCAAGCACACCAAGCTCTGCTTCTGCCCCGGAAGATTTGGTGACCTCTGGTGTGGGTGAGGAGGGGCCGGAAGATAGTTCAGAGGAAGGAGGACACGAGCCATCACCATGTAAGTGCCTACATACAAACTTGACTTCCACTTCTGCTTTATCTTCCTTCTTTTCTTGTAAAGCAAGAGCCCTTTGTGGGCCTTTTAGTGGCCTTTTGAACTTAGGGTTTGTTACATTGAGCAGAAGAGTTATAAAGCGACTGAGATGTCTCTTGAAAAAGATACTCTTTTGTTTAGGACTCCCCATATAGTCAGAGGAGGACAGGTTTAAGACCAGGCATCTGGGCTAGACTGCAGAAGGTCAGCTTATTAATATGTATGGCATGTTGAACACTCACATACTTTTTTGTTTTGTAGCTCTGACAGTGCTGCTTTTCCCCTGTGGAAGGGTGTGTGTGTATCTGCTGGCAATCTGTTCAGTGCTGTAATTATTTCTCCTATTATTTTCACATCATGAGTCACAAAGTTGATTTTGGGGTACATTTTGCACTGCTTGCCTTGGGTGCCAAAATTGCTAGTTACATATAGCTGTGGCCTGCAACTGGGAATGTATAGTGTTTCCAGTTGTACTCAGAACTTCTGTGGACAGAGGAGGCTGACCCTTTCAGAAAGTTACTTGATGTGTGTGGACGGTGATGGGAATGACAAAAGAGGAGACGGTACTAGTTTTTGTACATGTGATTAAGACTAGCATGTCATTGGCTTCTTAGAAGTGAAAATAAGTTCCATTGATTCCAGTGGATTTAGAATGGAAATTTATTGGCTCCCAATGTTATTCTTACTCATTGGGACATCTCCTTGATTCAATAATGGAGCAGTCCTGCTTTGTTGATGGTTATCTTGTGCAGGGTGACAGTCATAAATAAGTCTACTTTCTTCTTTTCTTTTTCCTTTTGATCCTGTGCTTCCAAAAGTTATGTTAGAGAAACTCCAAGGCTGTAATTAATCTCTGTGGATTACTACAATCCTCAGAGTCTGACTGGTTAAATGGAACAAATTATTCTCAAAATAGGAGCAATGTAAATATTTGAAAGAACACCAATGTTAAAGACTTCTGTGTCATATTTTTCCTTCTTTATATTTCCTTGTTTAAAATACATATTAAAATGCAAGGCAAGGAGCATTTCTTTAGTAAAATTGGTTTGCGTTTTTGTTGGTGGTAGAAAAATACTATTCTTTTCCCCCTTGAGAGTTAGCTAATTTGAGTTCTGAAGTTTTCAGTCTGCCATTGGGAGCTTTGCTGAGGAAGAAGAGTGATCAGTATGATTTAAAAGGAAATTTAGAGAACATTTATTGTTGCTACAGTGGGGTCTTGACTTAAGAATGGCTTGAGTTAAGAACATTTTGACTTAAGAACCGCTCTCATAGGAAAATATTGACTTGACTTACATACTTAGATTTGAGTTAAGAACTGAAAAAAAAACCACGTGGGAGGCAGGGAAAGTGCAAAATTTGAACTTTCAGTTAACTGTTGGCCAGTGAAAAGGGTGCCTGTCTGCTTCCTCACTCCTCCCAGCGTTTAGAGAGTGGATTGGGAGTCTTCAGACTGCCTGGTACTGCCTGGACTGTATTTTCCCTGCCTTCCCTGAACCTTTCTTGACCTAAGAAAAAAAGAAACAAAATATCCCCCTCTAGTGGTCGAAGGCAGAATAGCAGCTTCCCATTAGTTTCTATGGACGGAAAAGAGCAGATACGGATCAAATGGTTTTCAATGCATTCCTATGGGAAATGCAGATTGGACCTGAGAACTTTTTGACTTGAGAACCGCCTTCCAATACGGATTAAGTTCTCAAGTCAAGACCCCACTGTATGTTGAGGAACTTTTCACACATTGCACAGACACAAAGCTAAATTTGCCATGTACTATACTTCATTTATACTTAGCAGAGAAAGAAAACACAGTTCACTGCTGAATGAAATTATCTGTACGTATCATGTCTTCCTTCCAAACATGTATATCTTGTTTATGCATTATAGTTCAGTGTGTGCTTTAAGTTGTGCATGTGTAATAGCCCCAGAGCTCATGTTTCATCATGATCAATTAGTTGCATGAGTACAGTGGTGCCTCGACTTACGAACATCCTGACTTACAACCAATTCCAGTTACAACCAGCTCCAGCCACAAAATTTTGCTTTGACTTGCGACTGGAGCTTTGTGTTATGATCAGAAAAAAGGCAGGGAAAAGGCAGGGAATTGAAACTGCTAACCATTGGTGGTGAAGAGGCTGCTTCTTTGTAGCTCTTTCGCCCCAGCGGTTAGAGAGTGCGCATTTGGAGGAGGCTTTGGACCTGCCTGGTAAGGTGCTACTTTCTACTTTTTAAAAACTGCCTGTTCTGGGTGGGTTTTGCAGCATGGTTTTGGGCCAGGGGGTTATGTTTCTGTGCTGTGATGGGTCTTGCAGTCTTTGTTTTTGGGTTTTTTTTTTGCGTTTCTGTTTTCTTTCTCTTTTTTTGCATATCTGAAGGGTGTCTTCCCCCAGTTTCCAATAGGTCTTGCAGGGTTTGTTTGCTTTTAGGGTGTCTTCCCCCAATTTCCATTAGGTCTTGCAGGGTTTGGTTGCTTTTTGGTTTTCTTTCTCTTTTTTTGCATATCTGATGGGTCTTGCAGGGTTTGTTTGCTTTGGGTTTTTTTTTTTGCATTTCTGATGGGTCCTTCAGGGTTTGTTTTCTTTTTTCTTTTTCTTTTTGCATTTCTGATGAGTCTTGTAGGGTTTGTTTGCGTTTTGGGTTTTTTCCCCTTTGGCTGGAACGGATTAATTGCATTTCCGATGGGTCTTGCAATGGTTTTTTTTTGGGGGGGGTGACTGTTTTCTGGCCAGAACAGATTAATCTAATTTCAATGCATTCCTATGGGAAATGGTGCTTTGACTTACAACCATTTCCAGTTATGACCTTCTTCTGGAACGGATTAAGTTTGTAAGTTGAGGTACTACTGTATTGACTGGAAGAATACTTCAGTATTTTGCTTTGCTCTTCCAATTGAAACATTATGGCTGCAGTCCTATATTCTCTAAACTGGGACTAAGCCCCCACTGAACTCAATGATTAAATATATAGTCCATTATCTGGCTGCATACTTTTGCAGAACTGTATCACGTATTTCAGAATTGAGGATCCTCTTCTGTCCTTTTGTCCATGGTACATACTAAAAACCTCCTTCAGAGGGCTGAACATTCTTTGGAGCAGATTTTCAGTGGCACGGACAGTTGCACTCAGAGCTAAAGGTGGAGAAGTTCCAGTTCTGCTAGTGATGTTGAAGTACACAATTGGATCCTGGCCATAGACTGTGCCTGATGCTTCATTCCTACAAAGATAAACAACTTCAGTGACAAGCATGGTCTGGAATTTCTTCATTCATATAAATCCCCTCCCATTAAATTTGAGATCAAGTAGTAAGGGCTTGCTGTGATGTTTATAGATGTCAGGATGTTGTCTGAGAAGTGCTATCTATGCTATGGTTACGGATATGCATGGAAAAATATTAGTCTTTTTTTGTCTATCTTTTTGGGGTTTTTTGTGGGGGGGCTCTTGTTTTCATGTTGTTTGTGCACCTGTGTTCTTCTTTAATATGAAATGGACCACCTCTTTCAAATTATTTTACTTTGCTTTTCTCCATTCATGTTGCCTGGTTCTAATCTAAAAATGCTGTAACAACAGCAGCAACAATGTCCTGTAAAGTCAATTCTGACTTATTTGACCCTTTTCAGGGTTTTCTAGGTAGAGAGTATTGAGAAGCAGTTTGCTATTTCCTTCTTCTGGCATCGCCCTGAGGCTGTGCAGCTTGCCCATGACCACAGGCTGCCTCTTCTCCGAGGAGGCACAGTGGGGGATTGAACTCCCAACCTCGGGCTTTGCAGTGAGATACCTAAACTGCTAGGATACTACTCAACTAGCTTAAAAAGCTCTAAAGAAAAGCTTTAAAGAACCCATAAAAACTATCTTTAAAAAGCAGTGGCAAGGCAACAGAAAATCAGTCTACTTCAAACATAGAGAGCTACACAACTGTCACCAAACAAAACAGTCCTGAGTAAATGCACAGTGAATGAAAAAAATAATAATTTCAAAAACAAACAAACAACATTCTAACTGAGAAAGCAAGGCAGAGGCAGTCCAAGATGGAAAGTACCAGAAGTTTGCACACCACAAAGAATGAGTGAAATAAGTAATTAAATAATATAAAGAACACTGCCCCGAGGCACAGATGCTTTTACATTTTCAATATTCCCTCTCCCTCTATCCTAGAAGTTGTGATTGGGTGCTGACAACAGCCTTTGCGACAGTATTGAATGAAAAATCTCCTAGGTGATCTGACAAAGAAGGAGTAAAAGAAAGGTTAAACAAAACATAATTCCACCCACCCACCAAAACACGAATCATTCATGTGGAAGAGGCTTTCTTTTGGGAATCAATGAAAATGAAAAAAAAAAAAGAACCTCGTTCATGTTCCCCCCCCCCTTTTGTTAAAAGAACAAAAGTCCCATCCCTGCTGTGGTGACTGAAGGACTGGGATACTCTTCCATGGAAATTTTGTGGTTCCTGTTACCTTCCTCCCTTACACAATTGGGTGGAAACATTCACAATCTGTGGAGTTTGGGGGAAGATGATTTTGTGCTATTTTTGCTTTGGGAAGATTTTATATTTTGTTTTTTGTTTTTTTTGTTAGGAGTTTTAAAATGTTTTGCTTTGCAAATTGAAATAACTTCATTGAAACATTTGTAGTAATAAGTAAGTAGACAAAGGCTGAAATCTAATTGAAGAGCTATCTTGATTAGAGACAAACAGAATTCATCAGAATCCAGTTCATGGACGACAATTTCCAAGAAGATATTTAATACTTGAAGAGCCAATAAATCTAGAAAGAAGTTTATTAACCTTTCTATTTGTTGAGGCTGCACATATATTTGATAAATCTAAATAATTTTAGTCATTTTAAAAGCTGAATAACTGCAGTTATAATGAAATAATTATTAAAATACACACTCATTAATGTTATGTGTCCTATTGCATAAAAAATTGCTTCTAACGTTCTTTCTTAGAAGTGGATGATATCAGAGTTCCTA